AACCTGAGCATTCTCGCCGGGACTCGATGGCCTGGGCTTTCCTGCCCGCCTGCCTTCTCTCTCCCGTGCATGCTCTCCTCTCGATCTCCCCCTGCCTCCCTGCCTCCTGCCGTCTCTTGCTCCTTTATTTTTTATAGGGGTCAGGTCTCCTGTCAGCCATGCATTTAGAGCCCCCAGCTTGTCCAGGCACTGTCACAGGGCTTGGGCTGGCGCCGAAGGTGCCTACAGGGGCACACAGTGTGCGGCGGTGGGCAGTGGAGTGCGGTGGCATACGACAGGCTTCGGAAAGCTCACGGAAAATGTGTGTTCCAAAAAGCGCATGGATTTCAACTTTTTTGCATAAAAATAAACTTGTACTTTAATACCATTTTCTATGAACTTTTTGAAGTCCCCTCACATAGTGGCTGGGATCAAGAAGAGTTCTCAGAGGAGGGTGAGGACTTGTCAGGCTAGGTTGTCGGGGTGGCTTCATGGAGGAGGTACCCTTCGATCTGGACTGGGGCTAGCAGGCCATGCTTTCTGGGCTGGATGGGGGCTGCTGCGTGAGGAGCCTTTAGCCAGGAGGCCGGGAAAGCCTGGGTGCCTTTGATGTGGCCACCCTGGCCCTCCCACTCCTCTCCGCTAGTGCTAGTACCGCAAAGGGCTGTCTGCACCTGAGTCTCCCCGCCCCAGGCAGGTGTGCGCCAGACAGGCGGTGGGAGGAGGGGAGCTGGGGAGGAGCCAGCACTGTCTGCGTGGGAAGGTTCTGCGCCAGCCAGGCCCGCCCTGCAGCCCCGGCGGAGACCTCAGCAGCTGCTGTCTTCCGGCCTGTCACGCACCCTGGCCTTTCTAGAATGCGGTGGCTTTTCCAGATGTCAGCGTTTGGCCCATTCAGGGTGGAGTGTGCGCCCAGAGCGGTCGGGCTGTGCTCCTTCGGCCGCCCCGGGGAAGGAAAGCCCCTGGTGCAGGCAGGGTGCAATTTGGCAGCCTGTGGATCCTGGGCCAGCTACTCCGGCTCCTGCTTCATCCTTCCAGCCCACCAAGTCTGGGTGATGTGGGCACGTGATGGGGCTGGAGGACTGACTGGTGAAAACAACAGTAAAGAGAGAGATACACGGGAGAAGCCTGGCCTTCCGGAAGCCTCAAGGACTTGTCACCTGGGAAGGTGTTGGGGTGTGACGTACTGAAGACGGTGCACTACAGCTGCACAGAGCCAGCCCCAGCCACATTCCATTCTCCCCTTCCCACTCTCCATTTCCCTCCCAGCGGGCAGGGCGGCCCGAGGCCAGGCAGTGCATCCGCCGACCCTGCTCACTGCCGGAAAGACAGGCCCCAGCAGAGCAGAGGACCCAGAGTAAAGAGGAACGCACGTACACCTGGAGAACCCCCACTCGGGGCTGGGGCTGGGGCTGGGCTGGGGTGGGGGAGAAATGACTTGACAGCTGTTGAGATTTCGAGGGTTTAATTTGACAACAAGCTAAGTGTGACTTCACATTGGGATCTGGCTGCCAAAGCCGCCCACGCAGACCTGGCCGCGTCGACAGGGAAACGATACCAACAGCACCCCGAGAAAGGGCCCAAGGAGCGCTGTCCTGCCTCGGTCAGGGTGTGGCTGGAGGGGTCCACCCCAGGGCTGGCACTCGTAAGAGCACACGGGGCATGGTGTGGCCAGAGGGGCCAGGCCAGGATGGAGGAACAGCAAGGAGATACGGGACCTGAGATGAGGAAAGAGGGTGACAAGCCCCTACTCCCAGTGCTCAGGAAGGCAAGCAGTGTGGATGCCCAGGCTAGCTCGTCTCTCGTGACCCCCCCCCCAGCCTCGGGGAGAGCAAAGATGCAGAAAGCACTAGCTGCTCTTAAGCACGTGGCAGGTGTCGTGACGTATTTGGAGAAGGAATGGATGAAAGCACGGAGCTGGAGGGAAATGGTCTGGAATAGCACAAGACCAGGCCTAATGGGCTGGAAGAACGGAACAAGTAAACAGCCACGAGCCCAGCTCGTCCACTCTGCTGCTGGCAAGGCCGTCGGTGTCTGGCTGGCACCTTGTTTGCAGTGCCAATACTGGAAAGCGTGCGGTCCCACAGCTGTGCACACCTGTGCTGCCAGTGCAGCCGTGCCCAGGGCAAGCCTGGAGTGTGGAGGCTTCCTTCAGCCACGTTCCCTGACTACACAGGAGCACCTCTGACGTGCCCTCACTCTAGATTCCAGCAATGGGGCCACGAACAAAACGCCTGCTCCCCCGGAGCTGGTGCTCTGGACAGAGCAGACATGTCGACGAGAGTGTGTGTCAAGTCAGGTGGAGGACGGATGGCAGACTGGACGGGGCTGTTTCAGGCCGGTGAGATGGCATTTGAGCAGACACCAGGGAAGGAGGCATGTGGGGATCTGGTAGAAGAGGATCCAGGCAGGCAGGAGAGCAGGTGCAGACTCAGAGGAGTGGGCACCTCGCCTGCTAGGAACAAGCAGGAGGGAGAGGGACAGAGATGATGGGGTCACCTAGGGAGGACTTGGGGTGTTGCTGAGTGATACGGGGGCCTGTGGACTTTAAAGAGAGAAGTGACAGGATTTGATGTCGGCAGCAGGCCTCTGGCCACCAAGTGGGTGGCATGACCGTGACCGCAGCGCCCAGCCTGTGTGTCCTGCAGCCTCCCTCTCGCACTTAGCCTTGCCCTTGCCCTTCCAGCGGAAGCCCTGGGCCTGGACCACATGGTCCCCGTCCCCTACAGGAAGATCGCCTGCGACCCCGAGGCCGTGGAGATTGTGGGCATCCCAGACAAGATCCCCTTCAAGCGCCCCTGCACGTATGGGGTCCCCAAGCTGAAGCGGATCCTGGAGGAGCGGCACAGCATCCACTTCATCATTAAGAGGTAGGGGAGGGGCGTGGGGCCTGGCCTTCCACCCCGGCTGGGCAGTGCCCTGGGCATGGAGTGTGATAAAGGGACCCTCGGATTCAGCACCGAGAATCAGACAGGCCTGGAAGATTGGGCTCCTTCACTTAGCTGTGTGGCCTCCTCCTTCTGGGCTTCTTCTGAGGACAGTGGGAAATGGCAGCCCAGGGCCTGGGCTGGTCAGGCTCTTGGTAGGTTCTTAATAAGCAGGGCTTTTCACTCCTAAAGGCTGGAGGCCTTTGCACGTACTCTGTCAGCACAAGGGAGCCTGCTGGTGCTTAGGCTGAACCAGCCTCTCCCCGTCCGTGCCCTCCCTTGGGGCTGCCTTGCCTCCTGGGAGTTTGACCACCTTCCCTGTCCTCCTCAGCTGCCACTGTGCCCGGCACAGGTGTGGGTAGACTACAGAGCTGCCACCCCAGGGAACCCCCGGTGCCTCCTGCCACTCTGCCCCTCCATTCCCTCCCTAGCCCCGTGGCTGGTCTGACTCGCCACTGGGCAGGGCTCCGCACCTCCCACCCCCC